GAAACGCCAAACATTGAACTAAAGGCAAATAAATATAACTTGGAAATCTCTGAAAAAATTCTGCACTGTGTATTCAGTCCCGTGAAATCTGATAGGACTATGTTAAGTTGTAATCTCTGCAAACATATGTATATTTCTGCTTCCGAATATCAAAACAATAAGATAGAAACGCAGCTTGAGCCTGCAGTTTCATATCATTCAGCTTCGGTGTGTTTCGACCGTTCAGTTTTCGAAACTTTAAATTCCGACCATTCAGATTCCGAACCTTTAAATTCCGACTATTCAGACTCCGTAACTTTAACATTCAGAACGAGAGGACTTTGCTATTAATCAACGTTTAAAAACTGAGCAAATTAAATCAGTTATGCAAACTATTAAAACAAACTACGTTGATAGCGCGGATCCCTTAGGTAGAGCATAATTTTGAATTGAAAATTAAGTTGAAGTGTGACGTTCCGATAACATTAGCACCGCGTAGAGTTTCATCCCACGAGCGTAAGATACTAGAAACATTAGTTAATGAATTGTTGGAAGCGGGCCACATTCGGACCAGTATATCACTATACTTCTCAGCAACCGTGCTAGTAGAAAAGTAGAGAAAAACGATTTTAGACAGTTAAATAAAATTGTTGAAATGGGTGGTTAAGGTTGCCAAAGATTCCGTTAAGTACACTGCGTTTGTGACACCAAATGGTCAATACGAGTACGTGAAAATGCCGTTCTTATTAAAAATAGCACCCGCTTGTTTAAACGGTTCACAGATTTCGTTCTTCAGCCATTGATTAAGGAAGGTAATATTTCGATTTATATGGATGATATCGCAATCGGCACCAAAACATTTAAAGAGCATTTTATTTTATTAGGACGAGTTTTAAGAAGGCTTACAGCGGAGCGAAGTTCGCCGGGTCAGCTAGTTCAATATAAATAATAAAAATAATGGAATACGTGGTTGTGTGCTCCGCTAAGGCTTGCCAAAAGCAGATCACCCACGACCAGCCGATCATCCCTTGCTGGCTCTGCCATAACGTAGTGCACTCAAAATATATTGGGTTTTCAGGCCTCGTGGGTGACGCAATTTCAAAACGTAATGGTCTGCATTACAGTTGCGAGGCATGTCGGTCTGTCGAGAATGACATGGTCACGTTTATGAGGCAGACGCGAAAGGGCTTTAAGGAGCTGACGATCGGCTTCTAGCCATGGAGTCTCAATTCAGCAGTTTTAAAGTGCTGAATGAGTCTCCTGACGCAAAAAAGTCACTCCTCGTGATCTGCAAGAGCCTGTCCCTCGACCGCTCGCTGCTGCTCCACTGTCTCCGTCCACTCCGATAGTGCAGCAGCTAATTTCGTTTGCTACTCCAAGGGCAACGACATCTGCTGGTGATCAAGTCTCGGCTACCGAATCGATCATCTCGGAGAACATTTCGATCCCACCAGTTAATAAACGTCCCGTACAACCGGATATTGCCGTCACAGGTACCAGATCTGTGGTGACAAAACCTCTGGTGGGAGTCCCACCAAAGCGGCAAGTTTTTGTGTCTCGGCTTGCCCTTGACCTCAAATCTAATGATGTAACTGCTTTTATACAAAGCAAAATAAAAGCCGTTGGCTTAAAGGTGGAGAAGTTTAATTTCTCTTATGCCAGGGAGATATCCTCTTTCAAGATTAGCGTGTCTCCAACTCATATCGAGACCATTTGCTCTTCCAAATTTTGGCCAGAGCTCCTGATTGTGAAAGAATATTATGTTACGTTGTGATTGTTTACGGCTAAGAAGAAAAATAGGCCCCCCATAACTATTCCTAGTAGTGACGCCAGTGGTCCTTCCTCCTCTGATCCATCCACCTCTTCCCACTGCAATTCCTTGCAGTCAAAAAACTAACATTAGTTAGTTAGTTAGTTTTTGGGGGGCCTATTTTTCTTCTGTTTGTGGCCTATCAAAATTCTCGCGGCTTACGTAGTAAGCTGAGCACTCTTTTAATGGATAGTTTCACATTTTCATCCCATGTTATTGTGTTTACCGAAAGCTGATTAAAGCCGGACATTTTTAGTTCCGAAGTTTTGGCAGAATGGTACACAATTTATAGGAATGATCGTTCGTCTCGACGTGAAGGAGGGGTTCTGATTGCAGTAAACTCTTACTTTACGTCGGAACTTTTCATAGTCCAGGTCTCACAAGACCTGGAATTCCTCTGTGTTAGACTGATTCTTCCCGGCCAGTCTATTTATGTCACTTGCTCGTATATTCCACCGACTTCGGATGTACTTATATACGAGCAGCACTTGTCTGCCTTAAAAACTGTTTCTTCTCGCTATCTGATAAAGACCATTTAATAGTTATTGGGGATTTCAACCTGCCAGGTACTGTCTGGTCTTCGGTTAACGAGTCTAACAACCTTGTGCCCATGTCACGACATGATTTTAATGATGGCTTTTTAGACCTGTCCCTGTCTCAAGTCAACCATGTAAAAAACTCCTTGGGTCGATTGCTTCATCTGTGCTTTGTCTCAGATCCGACCGTAGCGTTGTTCGAAGTGTCGGTAGATATTGGACCCGCTGCTTTCGTAAAGCCGAGTTTACGCAGCTCAATAACTTAATTAGATATTTTGATTGGTCCGCTCTGTACTCGTGCACTGACGTCATTGAAGGCACAAACATTTTTTACAATGTACTTGACACAATTTTGGACTATGTGGACATGTGGACTATTTCGACTAGATCTGCGAAACCTCCTTGGTTCACCAAAGAGTTATCCAGTCTAAGGAACCTAAAATCAAGACTATTTAAAAAATCTCAAGAAGTTGATTCCCCCTCTTCTCTTTCTAATTACTTAATAGCTCGGTCAAATTTCACTGTTCTTAATGCTCAATTCTATAGGAACTACCTCCTTCGATGCAGGATACGTTTTTCACAGGACCCTAAATAGATTTACAGCTTTGTAAACAGTAAGCGTAGAACGTCCGCAAAAATATCCTCGCTATCATTTTTGAATTTGTCGCTAAACAATGATCAGGCAATCGCCGATCTTTTTGCACATTTTTTTCAAACAACCTATTCACATGAAAGCTACCCAGGTCATGTGTATCCATATAGTCTACCAAGGTAGAATGTAATTTTGTGCCTTTCGTCTAATGAAAGCTCCTTACTTCATGAACTTCAATTAGTTAAGCCGGTATTTTCACCATTCCCTGAGGGAGTTCCCGGTTGTGTACTCAGGTACTGTGCAGAGTCTCCGTGCGGACCTTTGCTTAAACTATTCAATCTATCCATCCATTCTTCTAGGTTTCCCCCCATCTGTAAGGAATCCTTTATAATTATTCTCCATAAGAAAGGTAGTAAATCTGACGCTAAAAACTATAGAGGTATATCTAAGTTATCCGCTATTCCTAAAATGTTCGAGAAACTTTTAACTCCGCACTTGCAGCATCTCTGCAAATCACTTATATCTCCAGGTCAGCACGGATTTATACGGCGACGATCTTTGTCATTAAAGGATTCCAAGGTAACTTGCAGACGGATGTTATTAACACTGACTTCAGTAAGGCATTCGATTCAGTAAACTACTCTCTTCTTGCACAAAAGCTCGACCTTCTAGGGTTTCCGCCCAATCTGTTGAGATGGATTTCTAGCTACCTGTGTTCTAGGTTTCAAAGGGTCCTTTTCAAAAACTCCTTATCTTTACCTGTTATGGTTACTTCTGGATTACCAATACAGGGTAGCCAATTAGGCCCCTTACTTTTCACACTCTTTATTAATGACCTGCCTTCGGTATTGACGAATTCTCGAGTACTTATGTATGCGGATGATGTTAAACTCTGTGTCCAGTATAAGGACATTTTATTTCACTCTCGCTTGCAATCTGATCTCAGTAGCTTTCAGTCATGGTGCTGGGCAAATATGTTACAACTTAATGCCTCAAAGTGCAATGTAAAGACTTTTCATCGCTCCGCCCCTTCCTGGCTCCTTACACCCTCTGCGGTAGTTCTCTTAAAAGAATTTCATTGGTTGATGATCTAGGTGTTAAACAAGACCACAAGTTAAAGTTTTCTGAAGACATTTCTACCATGGTAAATAAAGCGATGGGTGTGCTTGGGTTTATAAAGAGGTGGTCAAAGGAATTTGATGACCCCTATATAACGAAGACTCTCTATATCTCGCTTGTTCGTCCGATTTTAGAATACGGCTCATTTGTATGGTGCCCTCAGTACAACATACATCAGGACCGTATTGAATCAGTACAGAAAAACTAAAAAAACTCAAATGGGATGCAACTGTGAGACTGCCATCCTACCGTAGTAGACTTCTTTTAATAAATCTTCCATCCTTAGTTAGTCGTATAAAAATGCTTGGTGTAATTTGTATGCACAACTTGATCAAGAGGGTGTAGACAGCCCTGACTTGTTGAGCCGCGTAAACTTTACGATTCCCATTATACCCACTAGAAACTATATTCCTTTGTTCCCTCCACTGTGCAGATCGACTTATGCCTTGCACGAACCCGTTAGGGTTTTATGCTCGGATTATAATTCCCTCTATCACATTATATCCTCGACTAACTCCCTTCCTCTTCTTAAGTCTCTTATACTAGCCTACCTCTCCCGTAGCTCGTTTTATTTTGGCTTTGTCTTGTTTCTGACTTCGATAGTTTTGCTTGCTTAGCTATACTTGCTCTAGTTTAGTTCTAATTTTCCTCGAATATTAGCCAAACATCTGTCTTTCCTGCATGCTCGCGACCTTTTCGGTTAATCGCGCCGCGCGTCATGCGGCAGCGCCCCTCGGTCGGTTGGGCTTGAGGAGGCCTGCGTTCTGCTGGGTTCCGGGCGTAACAGGCTTTGGCTTGGTACCGCATGGGCCACTTGATGGTGCAGTCATTGCATATCAACGTCCAGATTAAAATATACCGTAATAATAGAGATATCTTAAACAACTTATATATACTAAACTAAGCAACCAAGATGATCGGTCGATCAAAAGGTTTTTTTTTTATTTAATCGCTACAGCGAACGATCAAAAGGTCAGGTAACTAATGTTAACTATCGATTTTTAAATAGTGTTAAGTAGTTTAAGTTTTTGATTGTTTAGTAGTTAGTTAGGCTACCATAAACATTAACTATCGATAAACTATTGTGGACCAGCGAGCGATAGCTGGATCTTGCCGGCATTCGGTGCAAGTGAGAAAAAGGAGAGAGATTGCGAGCAGAAGTAGAACGCTATAAAAATTGTTATGGACGGCTTTCTGAGGTAGCCGATAACCGACAGGGCTGGAGAAGAAGACCAGACAGCGGCCTCTGCTGTGGATCCGAGGAGGCTGAAAAAGGGTTGCAAGGTGACAAGAAGGATAGAAGGGAACGTGGCCGTGAAGGTTATATTGAGAAGGTCAGTTTTCCGGGAAGAATTCCAAGAGGTCGGTCGGCAATCTAAAGTAAAAGAAAAAAAAAGGAGAAAATTAAAATCAGTGCCCAAAAGCTAACAAAACGAAACCGAAAATCGTGAAGCGAGGCGACGACGGCGCTGGAAGGAGAAGACGACAGCAGCGGACAACACGCAGAGAGCCGACAGCAGGGTCAGCGCCAAGGCTGGCACGGCCGGAGCACCTCGGGAGGAGCAGAGTGCCCAATCTAAGGGAACACACCGCACACCGCACACCGCACCGGCACACCGCACAACGCACCGGCGCCCCGCACACCGCAGCGGCACAGCGCACCACCCATCACACCCGCGACACTCTCATCACACACACATCACATACGCACCACGCACCGGCGCCACGCACACCGCAGCATACAGCATCAGCACCATCACACGCATCACACACACATCACACCACACATCACACTCAGACGAAGAGTTGTGAAGAGTGAAAGCGATCGGACGCGCTTGTTTTTCCTCCAGCGTCTAATTCATTTTCCGTGCGTGAAACTGCCTGGAAAAAGGTAAAAGTGAGAAGGTGCCCGACAGGAAGGGGTACGTACCGAGCCAGACCGACATACGCGTTCAGGGTGAGTCTCCCGGCGCGGAATCCAGTCGCTGGGCGCCGCTCCATACACTGAGGAGGGGAGGAGAAGCGAGGAGGCCACGGGTTTTTCGCGCTCTCTTCTTTGGGAAGACAAAAACAATTTTTCCCATTTTCGCACTCTGCTTTGCTTGTTGCGAGCAGCTGATCGCTAATTAGTGGTGGGGAGCGCAAGCGAGCTTGCGCATACCGATATATCGATATATCGATACTCCACCGGCGGCAGCTGTCACGTAGCAGGTAACTGGCGCAAAAGCTACAAATTTCCAGGCCAAATTTCTAGGCCTGGATAGTCTGCACAAGGGGCAGTGGGAAAAGGTCACGGATCCGACCACACTCCGATCCCCCGCTCAGGCGGTGTCCCGGTCAACGGGACGTCGGGGACCGAGGGAGGGGCGGGGTAGCTCTTCGGTTCCCCTTTAGGCTCCGGTCGCTCCCTCGGGTGTTCACGCCTGGCGCATCGATTCATCTCGTATTTGCGTCTATACCTGTGCCCTTTGGGCAAGCACCCGTCTAGCCGCGACCGTTCTAGCGGCGCGGTTGACGGCCTTCTTCCCTCCTTTCGGCTACGAAGCCACCAGCATTACTCCTCGTTAGTCATCCGATCGCCGGTACTCCAGGCAACGCCAGGAGCCGTTCAGGGTTGTGAGGTTGACCCCAAAGAGACCCCCAAAAGGGTTAGGGACCCCGCAAGCCCGGCGAGCTCGCAGAGACTGACAC